TATATATATATATATACTTTTTTTTTCTCGCGAATTTTCAGAAAAGTCCACTTTCATCTCTGGATATTGTAAAAAATTGAAGCAATAAAATATAGTTTCCCAAACGACATAACTCTTCTGCATATTTTGAAAGTGGATTGGAATGGGGTGAATTGGATGAAAAATGTGCAAGGCGGTGCGGGACAAAAAAGATTAATGTAATTAATTTAAAAAAAGAAATCAGTCAGGGACCTGATCAAAAATGCTGTCGCCATAGTCCTTTCAAATACTAGAAAACTGGACCACGAATCACTACGTTGGTTTCCTGTGAGACAAATAATATATTTTAAAATCTTGCCTCTGGACTTTCAATCTCTAAATGGCCTTGGACCAAAATAAATGCAAGATGTATTAGTACCCTACAAAGACTCCAGACCCCGCAGGTCGGCTTGGACAGGTCTATGGTGTGTTCCTAGAACCAGAACCAAACAAAATGAAGCAGCATTTAGTTGCTTTGCTACTTACAATTGTGATTTTTGCAGTGTCTTAATATTTTGTTTCTCTTTCTGTTATGCTTTTCATGTTTTATGTTCAGCACTTTGCATTGTCATGTCAATGTCCTATACAAATAAACTTGCCTCGCCTTATTTGGAGAAGTTAAAGTTGGTATGATCGTATTTTCCGCACTATAAGACGCACCGAAAAGTCATTCATTTTCTTAAAAGCTACCAGCGCGCCTTAAAATCTGGTGCGCCTTGTATATGGTCATTACTGTAATATGTCGACCCCCAAAATGGCTCCTTGCTGGAGACATGCTTACAATGTTAGACCTTGCTGTTGGTTCAGTGAACTGTGCATACATGGCAATGGCGAGTGATGAAAAAAGCGGAAGGGGCGTGGCCTGGACGGGGGCGTGGCCTGGACGGGGGCGTGGTTACTTACAAAAGTGGCACTAAACATGCTGAAGATGAAGTGTATTAAATTTACAGTTTGAAAATTGAACAGAAAAAAATCCCAAGATCGCCACTATTCTTTCAAGTGAAAATTTGTGCAATTTTGCCTATGCATTCCTGGTGAGCACCAATATGTAACTCCAAATTTGCTGCTCAAAATCAAAACTAAAAAATTAAACACATTCCCTGCCATATTT